AGAGCGGAGAAAATGCACACACTAGAGCCTACGAAGACAGAGAAGTTGTTAATTAAGTACTGTTTTGCTGTTTCTACCTTCTTTATAGCAAATATTCATGGTGCAAGCAAAAAAAAAACCCAAAACAAAACCAAAACATGAACACACAAACCCCCCAAACTTGGAAGCTGAACTTAAAACCTGCTTTAGACACACGTATAATCTTCTCTTTTCATTACAGAGGAGACCCTTTGCCTCACATCGAGTACACAGCACAAGAGACTGCAACTTGGTGAGTTTTTTACTTACACGCTGACTCCTGAGCCATTCCACTGCAGTCCCAGGAAAGACTGGCAACATGAGACAGTTGTTACATTTTCAAATGGTGTTATCCATCTCAAGTTTTACTCCTTGGTTAAGTGTCACCTGTAATTTGTTTTACAGAAAGCCAGTCTCAGGGTTGGTCTTAACTACTCCCTTTCTAGAGCAAAACGCATTTTCCTGACCATCTCCTGCCTGACACTCCCATCAAGATATCAGAAACAAGAATGGAACCTATAATTCTAACTGGCCTCTAATTAACCATAGCTATGCTGGTAATAGAAATACCATCTTTCCAAATCTGTTACCAGGACAAAATGTTTGTTTTGCAGGAGAGAAATTCACTCATAAGATGTGGCTAATCCAATGCTCATAGGACAGAGCAGCTTTGCTTGTTCTCCTGCAAGTATTTAATTGCTGTTAGCGTGAATACATATAGTTTGCTCAAACTGAAGGTAAAGGAAATTTTGGAGTGCCCTTCAAGGATATATTATTTACACTGTAAAAAGGCCTTTGAAGTCATACAAAATGATGGCAAGCTACTTTTACATGATTTCTTCATGGAAGCTTTATTTCTCCTGAAGATTTGCTATTCAAGAAAAGCCCCATTTTGACCACCAAACACAAAAATAAATTCAATTAAAAGTATGTTTGTGGGCTTTTTGTGAAGTATGTGGCAGATTCAAAAGAAATCAGAGTTCTTATTTCATATAACTCAATTTCCACTATCTCCCAGTAATTTTAACAAATCTCAATAAGCACCAACAATTATACATTTCTATGACAATACAAACCTAAATTTCTCCAAATGTCCCAAATCTGAGCAGAGTCCCAGAGTTTTGCCAGGTGCCATATATGCACACAATAAAACAGAGTCTTTGCTTAGAAAAGTTTACAATTTTAAAGGAAAGGCAGCCTAAAGGTGGGAAAAAGGGAGAATGTTGAGCACATTTTAAAACTGTGGAAAATAAAACAACTTAGAGCTTATGTAATTTGCTCAATATTATACAAAAAGTTTATGTCAAAGCCAGGAATTAAACCCATAAGTTAGATATCTCATGCCAGAACCTCAACCACAGGGCCAACACATATTTTTCAGTGATTATTTTATCTGAAATAAAATCTACTCTGCCATAGGAAGGTTGAGGGTTATTGCCCACAATCACATAGAAACCTTGCATCCAACTCATCCAGGCAGTCACATTTTTATTAAGCTCAAATAGGTTTTTATAGCATCTTTCAGTTGTCAGAAATTGATGGTTGATGTCATGCTTATGATTGCTACCACTAGCCAACAATCTTGGCATGGGATGGTGTGTAGGAACGTCATGTTTAAGAAAGTTTAATTTTGTGTTCTTTCCTGTTTTTCCCTTTTGTTGCCAACCTCTATCATTCTAGTCCTTCTTCACCTAGAATCAGTCCCACTGTGGTAACGAATGGATCTTTAAAGGAGTATCTGTCCATTTCCCTAAACAGCCAGCCCTAGCAACCCAAGTTGCCTTGTTATGTAAAGCTGCTTCCAAAATTAGACCTCCCAATTGTTATCATAGCCCCTGGGACTGTGCCTAGAGGTCAGCTGCAGTACAACACAACTAAAAGGAGTGCTGTGCAATTGAACTGTAATCTGAACAGGAAATCTGTAGCACAGACTAAATTCCCTTGGTGTTCACTCTGAAGAGTTGTTGGATGCATTCAGTTTGTAGCAACATGGTTATAAAAATGAAAACTAATCAAGTGAAGAAATATGTCTTTCAGAAAGCAGAGGGTACAAATTATCCTAGTCTCTGTTTTCAAGCAGGGTTCTTGGAAGGCCCTGAAACTAAGTAGTCATAAAAGACATCTTGTGGGTAAAAGCTGTATAAGAAAAAGGGAGAAACTAGGACAAAATTATGGGGATGCACCTGTCACATCCTCATAATAAGGGTGAATAGTGCCACTTATTTCTAAAAAAATAAGGACATTCATGTAAAATAAGACCATTGCCTTTGAAGTCTTTGAAGTGGCTGGCTCTGTCCTTCATTATGAGGCTCTTTTCAAGAGTATTTCATAGACTGCTCTTTCAGCAGTTTGTCTTCCCATCTCTGGACTGAAGTACCATCAAGTAGTAGCTTTATGCTCCTTTGAGTGATAGCACTTCCATATGGTGAGGCATTACACCTACTGGAGACAACACATTAGAGCAAGCTAAATTGTTGCCTGGAAATATCTGCTACTCTGTTGACTTTGGAGTGAACGTTGCTGTTTGCCTTAGAGGTACTTAAGAGAGGAGCGACACTTAGCTTTGGATAATTCATCACTGGTCTTGGAGACTCCCTACATTTCTGTGGTAGACTATGTTTGGACACAGTAGATTGATACTTTGATAAAAGAGACCATATGTGCAGAAGTGTAAACAAGCCTGCTCTCTCTAGGCTCCAGTCTGGGGATGAACTGTGTACTGATTCAGATCCTATGCAATCCCACTGAAGTCAGTAGAATTCTATGGGGAAATAAGCCAGGGCAACACTTGAACTCTAGTACTCATTTTTTCCTAATTCTTCTATGGAAATGGCCCAGTCTCCTGTGGCTTTTGCAACAGTGACAGCAGCCACTGTTTCCCTATGTTCTTTTAATGTTTTTTCCTCCTAAGGTTTTCCTCCCCCGCTTCATTCTGGTTCATTACTCCCACACTGTGTAAGACATTCATACAAATGAAAAGAGCCATTACCAGGGACTTGCTATCACCTCCATAGCAACAATAGCATCACAAAAAAAAATACAATACAAAACCAACAAAAGGTCATTTTCCATACCCAGTATTTCCAAGAATGATCTCAATTTTCATAAAACAATGTTTTAAAAATTGTTAACACCCTAGGGCCATGTCTGAACAAAAATAGCCATTTCTATAAGGTTCTACTACTTGTTTATTTTGCAACGGCTAAACACATTCCAAACCACAGCTCTAAATCCAAGCACCGCTGTTTGGGAGACGCTTGAAGCCTGAGCCCAGATCTGGTTATATATATTTTTCTTCAGCTGGTCTTTTTCTGTATAATGGGCTAAATACTTCAAGAAGTTGGCAAGTCTTTCAAGTACATAGCCCATGCCAGGCATTTTCAACTGCAAAAGTATGAACCTTTCTGCCTTTCCAGACGTTACTCTTCAGTATCAGAAAATGTGCTTTTTGAGGGAGGAAGTTTGTAAGAGTCAAATATAGGCCAGGCATCATCATGCAGATGGAAGGACCAGCATTTCAAGTTGTACCCCAATGTAGAGATGGGGGGAACACCTGACTCATTCCATCCCTAAACTGCACAACACATAGAGGACCACAGCCTCAGCTTTCTCCCTGGGATTTCCCTGGTACCTCCAACACCCTTATGCCTAAGAAACACTTCTGAATTAGGATTAGTGTCCTGTTACATTAAAGGAGAGTGTAGGAAGGGGTAAAATAGATTTGCTGAAAAGAAACCACCTTCCAAAGGAGAAAAAAAACAGAAAAAAATATGTTTTACTACATCCACCCAGGCATCATCTTCGGAATATCAGGTATCCTGAGTTCAGATTTTTAGTCCACTGCCTGAGCTGGGAGTTTATGCATCTCTCTGGATCTGTATGTAGGGCAGGCAAGTACTGCTCAGTTGACGTGTGTCATGCTAGACAGTTTTTGTTTTTCAGGAGAGAAGTCTATAGGAAACTGAGCAGCCTTTACCCTACTCATGCTTGTACGCAGTACCTGGATGCTTTCCAGCAGCTGGAGAAATACTGTGGTTATCAAGAGGATAACATACCTCAGCTTCAGGATGTCTCCAGATTTTTAAAAGGTCAGTCATTCTGAACTATGGTTTATTTTAGGGTTTCCTAGTTATGCCTGCAAACCACATACACACACAAACCCTCTCATAGGACCCAAGCTGGTGAGTGGAGCTGATTAGCTGTAGAATTCCCTGTGCAAGACAAGCTGCAGCACTAGGCACATCTAGAGACCAACCTGTAAGTAAGTTTGTGTTTGCTCTGTGAGTGGCTGAAGCTGATGTAGCACTGACCAGCTAATTCCAGTACTACCAGCAGTACAGCCACCACAGCACATTGCTCCCCATGATTTCCACATGCAGGTTTTCTATGGGTTTGGCTGTATTTTATGCTTCTATGTCTGTGCTGCCACTAAGACCCAAACACAAGTACAGTACATAGTACAATACTGTACATACAGTACATAAGTACTACTTACCTCTCAAGGTCGTGTTTTTTTGATGCCTGAGACGGGATGGCAATGTATGCTAGGGGAAATGATTTCCAGGAGGTCCTTCTGATCAGTCAGCAGCTACCTTGAAAGGACACTGCTTCTTTCTGTCTCTGTGGCCCCATTTGCCATACTAAACTCTTTGGTAACTGTGGCATGGATGACAGTAGAGCAGAAAGGTGGTGGTGGTAGTCTGCAGTTGCATGAAGATGTGGCCTAAAATGAAAGGATACATAAGATTATTAAGTATTAGGTGGGGAATGACTAGTAAGGGGCATGAGAGGACAGGAGCCTGCACTATTTATATGAGGCAAAAGGCTGCATGGTTTCTCAAGGCCAGGTGCTTTATGTCAACCAGCAGTTTTCGTACTGTTGTCAAGAACAACTAAAGAAAATCAGTCTTAAAGCCTTCTTGCTCCTTCTTAGTTACAAGATGTGCCAGCAGGAGGAGAACAGCTGGTCACTATTATGACATAAATAATAACAAGCATGGGTTAACTTTAAATAAATTAAATTTAGATATAGCATTAAGAAAATCAAGTGACCTACTCCATGTATAAGTAGGTCATGCTAGTAAGATTGAGTAAGCTTTCTGTTGGTGAAGAGTTTTCTAAGATGCTGCAATTTTTAGGGAATATTAAGCTGTCCAATGACAGTATTTATTGCACTTTTAACATAAGGGAATGGAGGATTAGTATATGGAAAGCATGTCTCATGAGTACCATCGTGTCCAGTATCAGGAATTCTTCTGCATATGCATTATTTATTTTCTCATGTATTTTTCCTTCCATTCAACTACCCATCTTGCTTCCTTCTTCTAGTAACATTTCTAGTAATGTTTTTTTCTCATGAAATTGTTGATCTCATCTCATTTACACAGTAGCTGTCAGCAGGCAGCTCCAGAAATCATGAGATGCTGATTTGATTACTGCAGATATTCATATTCTTTAAGTGAATCAGGTGATTTCAAAGTAGGAGAATTTAGGATAATGTAAAAACATCATGTCATAATATGATTTGTATTGCTTATATTGGTTGACTCAATTTGATTGCCTGGAATCTCAGACTGCTCACTTCTTTCGTAGGCTCTTCTAAATGTTCTCTATAATATACAAATTGTCCTAGGCAAAAAATAATGCAGTAAAAAGAGTAATTCTGAAAATTCCACTAATAACAGATGAGAAGATGTTCACAATGAGTTTCAACTCATCTATTATAAACACAGTGTGTCTAGTGTAAGCTAATTGTCAGAGCTATTCTGACTGGGAATGAGAATCAGGCACTTCAGAGATATTTCATTCCTTCCTGGAATGGTGTCTAAGGAAAACTGAAAGAATGGCTCTCAAGACCACTGGTCTGTAGATAAAACCTGCATTAGTTTAGTGTACAGGCTTTGTAAAAGATTATACATAGATGGAACAAAATTTGTCCAAAAGAACTGTGTTTACAGCTAGACACAATAGAGTGAGTAAGCTGTTATAGCCCCACTATGTGAGTTTTTGACCTGAGCTCTTACTTCAGTGATTCCCTCCAGTACGGTAATTTCACTGTGCAGGATATTTTCTAGACTAGCATGAAGACTGTCATTATTGTAAGGTCCCTTTGTAACAAACTCAGTCTGAGTCAGAAGAATCTGCAAGGCCTGTAAAATAAATGTTCAAGACAGCTCCATGTCAAACAGGCAGAGTGAAGAGTATGATTTATAAAGCGTTATTGCTAATTTGGGTGGCTTTTACCAGAAGCATTAACAAGGCCAGAATTTTTGCTTCTTACAACTCATTAATACACTGTGTACTTAGGCTCTTCCTGTGTTACAGGTGTGCAGTGCTTAACCAACCAAACCTTAACCCAACTATAGACTGTGATGTGCCTCCCAAACTTCCTCAGCGCAGAGTGGATGTATGTCAACTACAGCTTGTGTGGAGATGCATAGTGCAGTTCCTCCTGTCACTGGTTAGCTCTGGGTGAGCCCTGAACTGTCCCACTCTCGTATTCAGCACATAAATCCCAGGATATATCTTTGCTAAATACTGCCTCTAAGGACTGAGCAATTCTTTAGCATATATTGTTAAAAGACTTTGGAATAGAAGAATAGAATAGAATAGAATAGAATAGAATAGAATAGAATAGAATAGAATAGAATAGAATAGAATAGAATAGAATAGAATAGAATAGAATAGAATAGAATAGAATAGAATAGAATAGAATAGAATAGAATAGAATAGAATAGAATAGAATAGAATAGAATAGAATAGAATAGAATAGAATAGAATAGAATAGAATAGAATAGAATAGAATAGAATAGAATAGAATAGAATAGAATAGAATAGAATAGAATAGAATAGAATAGAATAGAATAGAATAGAATAGAATAGAATAGAATAGAATAGAATAGAATAGAATAGAATAGAATAGAATAGAATAGAATAGAGTGGAGTGGAGTGAAGTGAAGTGAAGTGGAGTGGAGTGGAGTGGAGTGGAGTGGAGTGGAGTGGAGTGGAGTAGAACAGAACAGAACAGAACTACTTCAGCTGGGAATGATCATGTAGTCCAACTTCCTGACCAATTTGGGGCTAACCAAAAGTTGAAGTATATTATTAAGAGCATTGTACAAATGCCTTTTAAACACCAACAGGCCTGGGGCATTGACCACCTCTGCAGGAAGCCTGTTCCAGAGTCTAACCCCACTCTCAAAAAATAAATCCTTTCTAATGTCTGGTCTACACGTCCCCTTTTGCAGCTCTGACAAACTTCCCCTGACGCACCTTTGAGTATAATAAACTATAGGGATGGAGAAAGATAGGGAAGGATATTCTGGGGAGAAAGTGATCATGTTATAACCAGCCCAGACCTCCCGGTAAACTTGCATCTTCTCTCTTACTGAGCGGTATCTGTGAACTTAAGCAAGAAATTCCATTTGATTCCAACACAAGCTGAACTGCAAGATCTACCAGTTGCCTGGCCTGCTAGTGGGGCCGGTTTGAACAGAAATGAGATCTACATTAAAAGTATTCAATATTTATTTTGAGGGAATTTAAATTATTAACCATGAGACTATTTAAATGGCAAGTGTTTTTCTAAAGGGTTAACTGGATGAACCTAGGCACATCTTTCTTTCTAGGAAAAATGTTTGGATTTAAGCATTCATTGTCCTCCACAGCTGGAAGAAATTACAGCCAGTGAACTCAAACAAGCTTACTCTGCACAGGCCTGTATACATGATTTTTTTAGGTCAGAATTAAGCCTAACAGATCACTTTAGGTCAACTACTCAAGACCTTATCTTCAAATAGTTTTGATTTCAGAGATCTTTGGGCAGCAGGTCCAATTAGCCATACCCCCAGTTCTCTACTGATTGCTGGTTTTCTTCTGCAGTAATGAAACAGAAGTTCAGATTTTGCAGATATTACCTTCAGGAGATAACTTTTTCCTATGGCTTTTCAAGGCAACTGGCCAAGTCTGTTCCATCAGCAGACTGATTCACTGGCATATATTTAAAAGGGCATTTCAGGGAACATAAGCTGTAATGTTCATTTTCCTTCCTGCTCCTGTGACATAGATGCTAAAGCAATGTAAATTTCCCTAGACCTCTAGGTAGTCCTTCCAAAACTGAGTTACTGGGTTTGGTTCTCATCTAATATATTTTGCAGCTGGTGCAGTTTTCTCTTTGCTCAGTCTCAGAATTTAGTCCAAAGGTTACCTGATTCTGAGATTTTTCACATTTCTCTGGATTGAATTAATAAGGCATCAGCAGCCAGGGAGCACACCTGTTGTGTCAGCTCCTGGCCAGAGCCTAAGGAGACATAGTTCATGGTCTGTCTACTCCTTCAAACACCCTGCTTTCTTAACTGGGGATGGGCGAGAACAGCAAGCTGCTTTACAGCCACTTCTGATACCTTGGTTAACTCTGATGCCTTTGCTCAGCATATAGACAAAAATAAAGACGTAATCTCCATAGGTTTGGGGTTTTTTTGCTGCTATTCAGCTTTGAGGCAATCCTGTACCAATTGCCTTTGAATTCAGTGGAGCAATAGAAGATAATAATGCCAAATGCTAACTGCCTGGTCTGTCACGTTGTCAAGTTGAAGCATTCCTTTCTGTCCACTCTTTTTTTGTCCTGTACAGCTTCAAATATTTTATCACTTCTAATTCTGCCAGTGAAACCTTTAAACCTTCCCCCCCCTCCCCTTTGTTCTCTCTCTCTCTTTTTGGACTCTGCTGAATTAACTCATTCCAACCTCAAATTGTTTATAAAATTAGGAGGACAAAAGCTCCCATGTTGTGGTATCCACAGCCGGTCTGATTCACTGGCATATATTTAAAAGGGCATTTCAGGGAACATAAGCTGTAATGTTCATTTTCCTTCCTGCTCCTGTGACATAGATGCTAAAGCAATGTAAATTTCCCTAGACCTCTAGGTAGTCCTTCCAAAACTGAGTTACTGGGTTTGGTTCTCATCTAATATATTTTGCAGCTGGTGCAGTTTTCTCTTTGCTCAGTCTCAGAATTTAGTCCAAAGGTTACCTGATTCTGAGATTTTTCACATTTCTCTGGATTGAATTAATAAGGCATCAGCAGCCAGGGAGCACACCTGTTGTGTCAGCTCCTGGCCAGAGCCTAAGGAGACATAGTTCATGGTCTGTCTACTCCTTCAAACACCCTGCTTTCTTAACTGGGGATGGGCGAGAACAGCAAGCTGCTTTACAGCCACTTCTGATACCTTGGTTAACTCTGATGCCTTTGCTCAGCATATAGACAAAAATAAAGACGTAATCTCCATAGGTTTGGGGTTTTTTTGCTGCTATTCAGCTTTGAGGCAATCCTGTACCAATTGCCTTTGAATTCAGTGGAGCAATAGAAGATAATAATGCCAAATGCTAACTGCCTGGTCTGTCACGTTGTCAAGTTGAAGCATTCCTTTCTGTCCACTCTTTTTTTGTCCTGTACAGCTTCAAATATTTTATCACTTCTAATTCTGCCAGTGAAACCTTTAAACCTTCCCCCCCCTCCCCTTTGTTCTCTCTCTCTCTTTTTCTTTTCTTTTCTTTTATTTTCTTTTTATTTAATGAGAAAAGTTCTAGTAGCCAGACAGAGCAAGACAAGAAATGTTGGAAGAAACATTAAAAACCAAACCAAAACAAATCTTGTAAATGGCTTGGTTTCTGGGTGGGATTTTTTTGTTTGTTTGTTTACATAAAATAAATTAGGTTCCAGGCTTCATGACACAATAGAATATGGATAGAGAAGGGAAAATAAAGCCATCTCTGATTTTTTTTAAATGTAGTTTTATGCTTTAAAGAAGATGAAATGTCATTTATGGGAGCTGAGAATGCAACACAGATTTTGAATATAGGACTTCAAAAAGATTATCATTGGCTCTCTTTTAAAGCACTGATTTTCAATTTTCTTAGCTTTGCAGACCACCAACAAGTTTCCCATGGAAATGTAGATTCTGTATCCTGCTGGCCATAGGGCTGGTTATTTTGTTAGTCATCTCTCACAGACTTTTTGTATAATGCAGGGTGTCCTGGAGTAACACTGATAGCAGAGGCTAAGATCACAGTGCACCAGTACTGCATTCTTCTGTCCTGTTCTATGGACACGTGCAGAGCAAAACACACACAAGCACATCACTGGAAGGTTGTGTAGTTAGTTGTAGTCAAACATAATGGTGAAAAAAAAACAGAGAGAGGAAAAACAGGTAAGAGTGCTGATGGAAACTTTGATGTTAAATGGTTAAGGGCCAAATTCCAGCACTCTTATCTCTGATGAGGACCTGTTTGCCCTTTCTTCTCTATGTTCCCATTCTAACAAGGTCCAGACAGAAAGATAAAATTGATAGCAAATGTTAGAAGTGCTGAGATGGTTTATGCATGTTGAGCATGCACTGACAAAGGGAAATTAAATTGAACAGTATGCTCCAATTTTAGTGTTGAGGGTATGTTAACCTAGGCCTGTTGAGGAACAGAAGATTTGCCCAGATGGAGCAGACCCATCATCAGCCTATTTCTGTCTTCAACAGTGCAAAGTACCAGGGGTTCCAGCACCAGGAATAAGAAATTCTGCAGGAGGGGGCTAAACAGTTACTTAGCATCAGGCAAGAGCCAGGAACTCTCAGACAACCATAGTGATGGAGTGTGTTCCCAATCTAAGTCCTTCTTTTACATCTGTTATACAGGAAATGAGATAATCCAAGAAGTAATAGACTAGCCAGCCTAAGAATTCAGATTCTGTCCTTCCTTGATCAGAGGGGTCATATGTGACCTCATGCACATCACTGACATGTGGTATATAGTAGATAAATGTGTGAAAATGTGCTAAAAACGTAAACTGAGGTATGTAGTACTCCCATATCTCATATAATTGCTGTGTGAATACGTTAAGGGTGGATGGCTTGGTGATTTAATGTTGCAGCAGTCTGACCCTTAGCAGTACAGGGACACATCAATAATTATAAGCTGGGATGTTCCTACTATGCTTAAGTGGATGATGTTACTGCAAAAGAGCATGAAGGTCCTCTAAAACTCCTTACCTGACTTAAGTGTGCCATATAGGTAACCCTAGAAACAATTGAATTCAGTCTCACTTCCCTTTGCAGAAAGAACAGGTTTCCAGCTGAGACCAGCTGCAGGACTGCTGCCTGCTCGTGACTTCCTTGCCAGTCTGGCATTTCGTGTCTTCCAAAGCACACAGTACATAAGACATTTCTCTGCTCCTATGCATTCCCCGGAACCGTAAGTTTGATGCCATGGCACAATCCCATCCTTCTGAATGTGGTGGGGATTGTTCTCTTGGGAACAGCTCTGGAGCTCTATCCAGTAGTCCACAGAATGAAACAATTTGAGAAACTGGTAGCTGGAGATTTAGAAGGGGAAGTCATGCATGAAAGGGTGTGGGTCTCTGTCTCTCTTACAAAGTTGTCTGGGGAAGGAAAAGACTGGAGAATATCTGGTTTAATCTTTTCATCCTGCCTTCAGTTACCATCTGCTGGGGTTTGATTCCCTGCTGTGAAACTCTCCCAGCAAGTGCTGGCCAGACAACAGCAATTACATTTCATGAGAAATTACAAGTTCGCACAGACACTTTTGTTGTATGCTGGGACAAAACAGGGGCCTTTCAAAGATGTTGTGACATGGGAGACTGGTGCCTGTCCATTCCAAGTGAGACAATAGCCAAGGTACTGGGGGGCAGCTGGCTTCCCATGGCAGAAGGAAATGCTCTGCCACGCTCACTGCAGAGCCAGGCCAGGTATGGAGGCAGCTACTGCAGAGCAGCCCTCACACTAACTCCATTTGGGGGTCTATTGGCTAAAGTCCTTCATGGGAAGTTCCAGTTAGAGCAGGAAAAGAAATATTTATTAAACATAAAGGTCACTTGTCTTCCAGAGACTGCTGCCATGAGTTGTTGGGTCATGTTCCCATGCTAGCTGACAAGGAGTTTGCCCAGTTCTCACAGGTAAGAAGCTTGTTCTGCTGCCTCTTTAAGCAACTGGTATAGATAGCAGGCCAGATGTGCCTCAAAGGCTCACCAGACATGGAACACTATTTTAAGACTTGATTGTGCCTGAGTTGCAACCTCCAGGGGTAGTGCCCAGGGAGACATCTGCTCCAAGGGAGTGGTAGCACTGCTCCCTAAGGACATTGGGTAAAAGGAAGGGCACGCAGTGCTTGTGGGACTTCTCTGTGGGAGGGCCGTGTCAGTCTGTAGAAGGATACCAGTGGAGCCTCTGTGGTGGTGCTTGTTTGGGTTGTACTGACTACGTGGTTCCCCTGGCTTCCTGTGCTACACCACATGAACCTCACCAGCAGCAGCCATCAAGCCCCCAGGATGGTTCTGTCTCTGGATCTACATTTTTTATCTCACATGATACTTCAATTGTGTCAATCAACATGTCATTAATTAGAGTTGTTTTTCCTTTTACCACTCACCAGATTCTCACAGCATTGCTCACACTGGTGAGGAAGCTCCAAAAGCAGACAGGGCTTCTTTGTACAATAAGGGGCTATTTAGGATGAGCATTCAGTGTGAGACCCAAGTGAACTCAATGACCTCTTATAATTACAGACTTCAGAACTATGAATGGGCCTCAAAACCATAGGAGAAGGAAGAAGATAACTCACATTCTAGGCTTATCAAACAGTGGCCAGTATGGAAACTGGCAAGAAGAGCAGCAAGTTTACCTGATGTAGGTCCCTGTGAGAATATCTTTAAAATAAAGCCAATTCACCTCATATAAGGTGGTTTCCAACTTGGAAGGTTGTATCAACTTGGAAACATACCAGTTTCCGTTTTGGTCGTAAGTTGAGTCATTGAGTATTGAGTATTATCAGATTCAGACCAGTTGTATTTAAAATATCCTAGTAGTCTCTAATTTATTCTGGAGGAAACCTCTTCAGTTCAGTTCAATCCCAGAACTGAAAACACATTAGAAATAAGAGATTATAGCAATTTCAAAACTTTCAGCTTTCCTCTTTTCCCATCTATAACACAGGCTATATAACATGGGATCGCATTAAATTAATCCTCATGTTTCACTCCTTTTTTTCACAAAGTATTTTCACAGTTGAATTCACCCCATGAATATTCTTTTTTTGTTCCATTCAACATGAGACGATGAATGGTGAAAATGCCCTAATTTTGTTTGTTTGCTGCATGATATGGCTCCTGGGATAGCTAAGAAGAAACATCTACAGATTTCTATTGTGAGAATAACAATTAACTGGGGGCACAGATTAGAGTAAACAGAATCCTCACTGCATGGATCTGACCTACTCAAAAAGGCTGGCAGAAAGACAGTGAGAGACAGAAAGGTAATGGCAAAGAGAAAACACACCTTGCTATCCTTTCTTCTCATGTATCCTTATAAATCTCTGCCACGCATAGTCCAGCATTACACCAAGAGATGGTTAACTTTACACAGCAAACACTGGGGATTGAACGCTCATCTAATGTGGCTCCCAGTGGTATGTAGCTGGGGGCCAGGGAGAGGTAGGCATCCTGGAAGCCATGGAAGGTCATTTTGGGTGACAAAAACAATGAATAGTTCATGCTATTCATGCTAGAAATGATGCGGCCCTCCCTCTTCCCCTCTTTCTCTCCCTTGGGCTGAATAATCACACCAGTGTAACACTGCCTGCTTGCTTACTTGCTTTAGGATATTGGACTGGCTTCTCTTGGAGCATCTGAAGCAGAGATTGAGAAACTGGCCACAGTAAGTGCAGATGGCAGTTTAGTATCGGAGGCAAAACCCAAACGATTCACTGCACATCCCTTACTGTGCAGGGAAGGCTCTTCTCCAGTGTCCCACATTAGCAACAAAAATGGGAGCATCAGAAGGATTGTCTCTTATCCTCATCCACAGGTTGGGGAGGTGGGGTTTGAGCCCCTCTGGGAGAGCTCAGAAGCATGTGATTCCACCTGAGGAAGTGTTTATACTTTTGTTTCTATAAGAATATATTGTAAGAAGAAATATAAGAAATTGTAGGAAGCTGAATCCCTACAGTTTCAGCCACAGGAGGGTCCCAATTCACTTTCCAGATTTACCTAATAGACTGAATACCCAATGTGATTTCTGCATTTTCTCCTCCATAAGGTGTAAGAAGCCATCAGAATTTACCTCACCATGTATTCAGTCATTTCACAAAATAGATGGACACTTGAAAGCAATTTGTGAGCAAGTATTGTCATTCAATTCTGAGTCATTAGGCTGTATATGCCTGCCAAAATAACCCTTGTGCAGCCAGTTGCTGCCATCTTAACCTGTTTTGAAAGTGAGCTGAAGGCTCCTTCACTAGAAAGTGAAGACAGAAAAGAACCTGTAACATACTTGCTATCCAGACATAGATTTCTAACATAAATTATTTTTTCTCTCTGGAAGCCCTTGTGATTCTCTGTATTCTAAAGAGAACACAGATAACTAGCTTAGATGATATGACAACATTTAAGTTAACTAAAAGTTTGTTTAAAGGGTTTCAACTTTGCTTGTGTCTATAATACTTGTAAGACAAACTTTGAAATGCCATTATTTCTTTCAGTCCCTGGACTTCTCCAAGTAGGTGGATCCATGCTCAAGAGATGGGAAATTGGCAGTGTTCATTTGTTTACAAAGTGCCACTAGTATCATGTCTTGTACCCTGTTAAAACAGTGAGAGCCAAAAGAACCTCCTAAGTAAAAGCCAAATACAAGATATATGAGAAAAAACCTAAAAACAATTCCTCTTCCTCCTATGTCTCATTCTCCAGTTGAAAAGGCCTTCCACAAAATGAGGAGATACTCAAAAGGCTTTTCCCTTTAAGAAGATTAAAGAAGAAAAATAAAGATTATTAATACAATAAGAATGAAAAATTATTACCTGTCCTGTATAGAAAGCATTTCAGGATTCTGCTGAAAGAAAGATCCTGGCATGCTGTCTCTTTAGGGTTAATTTTGCAGGCTAAAACCAAGTCATTGAAATTAAAAAACATGTGAAAGAGGGTGGGAGAAAGAAGGAAAAGGAAAGAAAGACACAAAAAAGACAGAATAACATAAGAGTTTCATATTATTTTACAAACTGTCTGCAGCTCTTTCAGAGGGGTGCTGAGAATGCAATAGTTACAGCTAAACTGAGGTCCAGCCCTGTGTGTGAGGCAGCACAGGGCCGTGTGTCCCTACAGGAAAGTTGAAAGTGTTGTGACATAAAACTGTACTCTTGAAATGCCTTATCTTATCCATGTTTTTATTTTGCACAACACCTGTCCAGCTGCTCAGGGGTCAGGCTGTGTCCAGATTGGTCCTCTGCTGTCTGTTCCCTTAGACGCTCTAATAAGGGAAGGGCTAACAGGTTGGAAGAGGCAAGAGTTGCTTTTATCCTACTACTGTCCAGCAGGTAAAGAAAGAGTAGTCCTGAGAACACTTTATTGCAAAAAAAGCCCAGAGAGATGTATCTTTATTTTCTGCTGGAGCATGATAAAGATATAATTGGTATGATCTTACAGGGTACATTGCTGCTAAGGGATAAGTCATTCTTCAGTTCTTTGGGATGCTATCACACAGACAAAAGAGAAAGGAAACTGTCTTTTCAAGTACCTTTCCTAGGGTCTTGAACCCTCCATTGAGGTCTAGATGTCCTTCTGGGGACAATGAGTTGAAATCCTTTAGATTCCACAGAATACAATGAAGCACAGGGCTGGCTAAGAGGTTGCAGTGTGATTTGTAAAATCTTCCAAACAAAGACAGGACTTTATGACTTTATTTACCCATTTAATTATCATAAGCAATTTTTTTATTATTATTTGGGGGGAGGGGAGAAATGATGGCAACTTTTGAAAAAAAGATGAGTTTTGGTTTTCATGTGTTATATATGTTGAGAGAAAAAATAATTTTTTAATATATAAAACTACAAAATGTAAAGATACAAAAATATTAAGGAATGAGGATAAACAAAAATCTAAGGAAAAATTGGAAGCTTGAAAATGAACTGCCTGTTGAGACTGTTTTTCACAAGTTGTTCTTATTAACAGCTTTATTGGTTCACTGTGGAGTTTGGTCTCTGCAAGCAAAATGGATCTATCAAAGCCTACGGGGCGGGACTGCTTTCATCTTATGGAGAGCTTATGGTATGTGTTAAATATATGGTATTGAAAGATTTTTATAATCCAGTTTTATGAACTCTCTAGTAAAAGCAAAATATTGTTTCTTCATATAAACTAACACAATTTCAATTACTGATTTTTCTTTTGTGAAGAAATTAATTCCCCCTTCCCAGAAGCTACTGAGTAGGGGGAAAACTACTGTAGGCTTGTACCTGCCTTCCAGCTAAACAGATGAAATGCAGTGAAATCAGCCATCCTATAATATACTAGATTTGTGTCTTACTGCTCCTGGCCAGTAGTAACACAGTTGACTTTAACCTAAAACTCATGTACCTTTCTGAATTACTCACTAGAGGGCAATATAATGCCTATTATCAACTCTGCTACCTCATCTATGCCACTGAGATTCATACACACAGCAATCAGAAAGGCACTGACTGACTGGACTAAATAAAATGGAAAGAAATTGTAAATAGCATGGACACTGACAAAAAGAAAAAACTTTAGTATTTCACTTCTCTAAATATGTTTCGAAACTAATCCTATCTCGAGTTGTATGTAGATTAAAATCTGCATATGCAGATTTGATACTGCCCTGCCTCAGCAGATTAACTGTGGGAAGAGGAGCTGTACAGCTGGTATCACTAGGTCTCAACTGTTCCAGGTTGTGCAGATACAGAATTATTTATTTATTTATTAATTATTAAGAAAGAAAATACAAGCACTCTTTTCAAGCATTTTTATAAACCAGAAATTTTATATTTTTTTTCCATAGGAGATAGATTTTAAACTTAGCACACAGACACAACAGCCTAACAGCCAGCTACATGATACATTCACATGGAACCATTGTTGGATTGGCACAGCTTGGACTCCCCTAAGTGGAGATAGTTGGATGTTGTGACCATAAACACATCATAAAACTCTCTTAATGGTGCACAGGTCAGCCTACTTTCCAGCCAATAGATAGAAACAAGAAACAACATGTTGCTATATCCCAAGACATTCCTAATAGGAGTCCCAAAAGAGGAACAATTAAGGGTTAACAAAGAGAAAGGAGAACCCTCCCAGATATCAGCCTTCATTTTACCACCTGCTGAGTTTAGCATTGATTTTCTCCTAACATATTTGAAAACCTTTGTGAGCAAACTCTGTTTTTTGATTTGCAGAACTTTCTCTGCAAATCTCTTGATGAACTGAGAGATTTGCATTCTCATTATCCTGCTTACTTTCACAGGCTACTTTTAACACAGCTTACTTTCTAACTAGCAACCTGGTCTTGTGCCTGACTGCTCATGAACATGAGCAGAAGTGTGCTAGCAGTATCATAGCACTCACCTGTAGAGTAGTGAAACATTGTTTTGAAACAGCAGAACAATGGCCTTCCTTACAAACCATGGTCCAGTGCAATGCATCTGGTTTACATGTTAATCTGATCTAGGATAGGGCTGAAGCCACTGTTTTTCTGAGAATCCTTCAATGTTTGCTACATTCGCAAACAGGAAGCCTAGGCTTGCTTTATTTACCTGGGAAAACAGAAAAGGTCCAATATTAAAGCACAGTTCAAGGCAACATTTATCCTACTCTTTAAATCACATGCATGTACGTGTCAAACAGGGTACTAAAGGGCAGAGCTAATCATGTCTCCAATTTGTTTAGCTTTCATAGTAATATGCACCACAGAATATATCTCAAAGATGCTGCCTCTGTCTTCTGTTTGACATTGACGAAGGTAAAAATTGTATCAAAAGTGCTTGCTTTTGGGGGCACCTGCCTTGTGCTCTCTCTCTTCTCTTTCTACCCTTTTCTTCACTAGACACCAACAAACTCTTCTGCTTTATATTATTGTAGGCACAGTTTGTTCACAAAACTGTGCTATTTAACAGAAAAGTGTAAGTGCCTCTTAAATTACCCACCTCTAAGGTTGAGAGTGGAAGTAGTAAATGTCCTTGAGTTGATAAATGGCAGTCTTGTCATTACTTTAATCATCAGTAGTTGATGGGTAAAGCTGCTCGATAAACTTTTGATACAATTCAGTCCACCAAGACCTTCATCCATTGTATTACTGAAATTACACACAGATCTGGTAACATTTACATTCAATGGGTAATGAGGAAGGACTACCTTCCTCTAAAACTATGTCCATCTTACATGTAACACCTAACACAATCTGAAGATGGGCAAGTAGTTCACCAGCCACACTGCCATGTGTCTTGCACAACCCTTCTATGAGCTCTGCAAGTTTATCACTAGCTTTTGGAACAGCAGCTTCATGGGTTCTGTGCACTTCCCTTTGAGCATCACAGACTTCTTGTACACAAATTAATTATATCCATGGCCTTAAGTGCTGAAGTTTCTTGTTATGGCTGATTGATTTTTATTTGAAACAAAACTAACATAAAGAAATGTTTCCACTTAATCCTTTTAGTCTGCATAAGCATCTGGTTCTAACTTCCACATGGACAGTGGCAGGGTGAGTAAAGTGCTTAGGTCCTGTGCCTAAGCACCTACTAGCAACTTCAAAATGCGTGCCAACTGTTTTTTTTACTGCTGAAGACTGTAGTGTCTATTTTGTAGAAGGGATTTTTTTGGAAATAAAGCAGTGGCTAAGCAATTTTGTTAGGGACGATGAAGACTGAAAGATAGTGAGGCTTATGATAGCCTTCAGTTTCTTACAAATCTCACTTTACAGTCTTAGACTGGCTCTTGAGAAAGCTCTAGATAAGTTTTGCTACTGCTTGGAAGAAAACCATTGTCCATCCTGATAATTATCTGACAGTCTTCTCTGTATGGGCCCGGATGTGGGCTTGTGCATGGAGGCCCACAACTCTATTCCACGTCATTGAGCTGATCAGCATATCTGGCACAGGCAAACTCATAGCAGCTCATGTGACAGAGAAGACATACTGCAGCATCCTGCACAAAGAAAAGGGGATTTAATCCCTGAAGGCTTCTGAACCAGGAGTAGCAGGATGATTTGGTCACAGAGGAGGCAATAAAGGCATACGTTACTAAGGCAAGGTGGTTGGCTACAAGAAGATAACATCTAACCAGCTGGAAAGGGTGAACAGAAGTATGTCCAGCTACTGTTATGTGAGAACTTAGAATCAGTAGGAAGCTTGGGAACATCTCTGAGCTGCAGCCTGGACTGACTGCCTGGGGGTGTATGACTGTAACCCAGGGAACCACATTGTGACTATGAAATCTTCAAAATTTTTTTCCTTTTCTCCACAGCTCCCACTCTGAACAGTTTGGACTGAGTTTCTGGTAGTTATTTTCTGTGGATGAGCTGATCCTGCCCAAACTCGAGGCATAACTTAGGGGAAAGACAGAGGATGAGAGGTAGAGCTAGATATCCTCTGCATAAGACTTGCACGTGAATCCTTGTTATCCAACAAAGCACTTATTCACAGCAGCGAGGCATCAGAAGGGACAGGATAACCATCCCCAAGTCTAAACTGAACAGTTGTAATGGGTCTGACTGCTGGCCAACCTTGCCTCCTCTGAACTGTAAGAATTCCTCCCCAACAGTTCTCGGTATTGCACTGTTTATTTCACTATATTCTGTCAGCTGTTCTACATTATCCAAAATGCTTCTCCTGTTAACACTCAGCTGGACTCTGTCCTACATACTGTAAAATCTTATGGCTCATACCACACTTCTGGCAGCACTCAGTGCTACATATGCTTTTCTTGCAGCACAACAAGTACTTAACTTGTAGAGGCCTTTAAGGCCATCCGGTTTCAAGCTGAACTTCCACTGAAATCAATGGAATTTCAGTTCTGCTTCAACACTGACAGCATAGTGGGACCCCTGTCAGGTTCTGAGTTTCTGAAATCTTCTCCCAGTAGTCCCCAGAGCTTCTAAGATTATAAGAGAAGCCTCATGTTTGTGTATATCATCCATCTTAGATTGCATGAGTGCTCTCCAAGGTTTATTCTTCGATTACACACTGCAAATGAAGAACAGGAAAACCACCAACTTTTAGCATTTCTTTTTTATTTTTTTATTTTTCAGGTCCTGTACTAATTTCTGCATCAGTTCTGCAGCAAATTGCCCTACTAGTTAAGGCAGGCTTCCAGCTATGGGAAGTTCAGGCTCAGCTCAGTGAAACATCCAAAAATGTGCTTAAGGGTACTGTCTGAATTTTTGCAGTTATCAGATGGAGCTGGAAGTCTTGTGCAGTGTCACTCACTCTTACCAGTTATTTGCAAGTACCATGGGATGGGAGTTGGTATTTGGATCGTAAAATACTGATGGGAGCCTTCTAAAGGCTGGGAGGAACAGAGAAAGAAAAACAGGCAGATCTCAAAGATGTGGGTACTAAAAACTGTCCTTAGGTGAACGTCTCACACTGTCCAGGCTTAAGGTGGAAAGCAAGGTCTTGACATTGAGTGTGACAAATTGCCTTTTTCCATTTTGTTTGCACCCAGGACACTGCACTGAAACGTCAGTCACCAACTTGGCCAACTGGAGGCCAAACCAGATTTTAGGTACATTTATGGTGCAGTTCATATGTCACTGGGGCTGTGCTGGCTTTAAACTGTTGGGCAGACAAATTGTGCAGGAGCTCACTTTAAGCCTGAGATGTACTGCCTTCCCAGGATACTGTATAGGTACCAAACAACCAATATCCACACAATTACACTGTCAGAAGCTCTGCTGCTGGCTGGGTTGAAGGGATCTCCAGTATGTGTAAACAACTGATAGATGTGCTTATGGACAGCCATGTGGACATGAGTGGCTTCTATAATCTTCCTGTCTGCCTGAGAAGACAATTTAGGTAAACTTGAGAAGAATGTATAGAAGAACCTCTGTGGTCCCAAACACCAACATGCATACACAGAGTATAATATGTATTTAGAACTAGGATTTCAGGGAAGCTTTTCGGCTGCTTAACTGGCATGGGAACTGTGCAGAAAATGCCAGGAGCATTCTGTCGGTTCTTCAAAGCAGCAGGAAATGCGATCTTTGTGTCATGGGCTGGGGACTTTGAAATAGTGCCACACAGGGCTGTGAATCTTCAGTAATGCTAGTTGAAAAAGCAGCATGATGTTATTTTTTCTTCTAGATATTCAGAGTTTGGCGAGTGGCATAAAATTCCCCCTCCCTGTCTGAAAATATGGCTATGGTACCCAATTGTACATCACTGTAACACAGGAAACATACATGTTTTCTTTCTCCTTTAAAAAATTATTAATTATTTCTCTTATTAACTTCTAATTATGAAAAACAGCTCTCACTGGTGAAAGACAACAACTTGATATTGCCTTTAACTGTTCCACAAAGAGCATTTCACAGCCCAGTAGGCACAATTTCTTGCCATGTTCACTCACCTGCTCTAACCTATGTTGTTCCCGTTACAAAGTACGCTTTATCAAACAAGCCGGAGTACAAGCATTTTGATCCAGAAGTGACTGCAGTTCACCCTTATCAGGACCAAGCCTTCCAGCCTGTCTATTTTATAGCAGAAAATTTTGAAGATGCCAAGGCCAAGCTGCAGTAAGTAAAGTGTTTGAGGGTAATTTTCACTGGAGGGGGCGGGGGGAGAGACGGGGGAATCTGGTTTGAATCCTAATCTTGATACATCTACCACTTCTGCAATGACTGTGCCAGGCAGTCTCACTCCACACTTCATCTGCAGAGTGTTTTTTTCACAAGCAAGTTAAATATGAGATTGTTTATCTCAGAAAAGCTTCATATAAATATATATTGTTATACCCTGTCCTATGCTTCATGTTAGCAATGCTTCATTCTGGCAACATCTGAGGTAAATTCTGTACCTGAATTTTAAGAGTAGAACACAATGCCAGAGCTGGGGTGCCCATGTGCTGGTCCATACAAACAGGAGATCATGAAGAACTGTTTTACTCAAGGTTGCACTGAAATTTTATAGCAAATCCAGGAATTAACATGAATCAGCAGGGGGCTTAAAAACAAGATTGCCTTTCTCCTCTGATTATATCTGCACAAGAATGCAGAATCAGCATTCACAGGCAATCTAATTTCTACAAAGTAGCTGGCTGCAACCTAAATAGCATTATTTCAAATTAGCTTGAGGTGTTTCTAAGTGCATTTCTTCAACTGTATTATGTTATTCAGTAAGAAGGCTTTTTAAAAATATATTTTTTTTTAGCACAAACAAGGTTTCAACTCTGGCCTTCATCTCCAAAAGTTAGAATAACATGACCAATTCTGGCTGGAGGCAGGAGGCTGGTTGTGGAGCTACTGAGGAGCATGGACAAGGTGAAATGAGGAACTGATTAGAGGAAGAGAATCTGGGCCAGACTTCTTCCCTTCTCCCCCCACCTCTACCCCAGAAGCACTGTCTGCTGGGTTTATAGCAATGGCAAATTAGGCCACTCATCTTAAATCTGAAGGTTCACATTACATTATTAATGTGTAAAAATGTGGCTTAGAAGTCACTGGGAGAAAATAAGGGACTTCAAGAGAATTTGACTCAGGCAAACCTGAAAAGAACTTACATTTTTTTTCAAGCGAGTTGCGCAGCCAAAGCTGCTCAAAAATAACCAAAGGCACAAGAATCTGTCAGAACGGAAAACATAAGGCAACAGCAGCACAGGGGGTTCCTACCAGCATGCACTTAATGGAAATATTGTCGAAAATGGCAAGCCATCATGTTTTTTCTTTTAATAGAGGCAGCAAAATAGCCCAGGATGCCTATGCCTAGTATCAACAGGTTTTTAGAATTTCATGCAGAAAGAGCTACTCCAGGTTATTTCTTGGAAGTGAAGGCGGAAGACATGCTGTGCTCCTGCATTCCTCAGCTTGTGGTTGTAATAACTCTGGATTGTGTTAAGGCAGAGCTGTAAGAGCACAGACGGGTCTGAGCCAGATACACTGAAAAGCAGGCACTGCAGATCCTTTGGGCTACAAGTGGTTCAGCCATGGGGACAATGTACTACACCAGGCAATGTCAAGGACTAAAAGTGAGGAGGTGTCTCAGCAGCCTCTACACCCTGAGAAATGGCTTTTGGACTAGCACCCCTGTCTTCTTCCCCCACAGAAAATACGCAATGAAGATCAAGAGACCTTTTTCTCTGCACTACAACCCATACACCAGCAGCATAGAGATTATGAGCACACCTCAGAAGATCAAAAGGGCACTCCATCAAATGAAAGAGGAACTGAAAAACCTCTGCTTGGCCCTTGAAAACCTCTCTTAAAACTACAGCAGTACATCTCACTGGGCACTGGGATACTTGTAGATGGCTTCAGCACTTGAAGATTTAGTGATGAAGCTGTAGTTGCATGTGAAAATCTTTAACCCACAAAACAGCTCTGTCAAGCACTGTATTTAGGCTGCTGACTTAGCCACATTAATGAGTTCCTATTGAGTTTGTTTCAATAACAAACAAGACCAAATTACTCCAACTTTTAGTAGGTGATATGAGTTACAGCTGCTTGGAGTGTGTTTATCTGTTATTATTGGACATTTACATGTTTTTTTTAATTTACTTGCCACCTTTTTGAGTTGTCTGCCACAAAGTAGCACAGTAACTTTTCAGCTACACAGTCTTTTACTTGCTCTTTAAATGACACAATGACAATCTTGTAGGTTGGCTAGCTGCCTACAGTTAGCAGTCCCTGCAGCTAGCTCATTTCTGCTAGCAATTACTATCAGCTATTGTGCTCACAAATTATGAATGGTTCCCTTACAATGTGCAAACGCAAGACTTTGTAAGAGAAACCCTTTACTTCTGCTCACTATTTATTTTTTAGATTCTCATCTCATTCAGTAGCCTTCAAGTATGGCAAAATAATTTCCTGTCATATTTGAGATCACAGAATATTTGTCCTTTGGCTAAAAAAAAAGCAGAAAATAATAAGCCCATAATGCTCTGGCTCTGTCAGTTACAAAAATACTGAATTTGAAAAGGAAATTTGGATTCTGGGAAGGAAATTTGGGTCTAAGGAAGTGTTTTCAAAGAAGCCGTTAAGAACCAGAGTCCCATCATTTTTTCAAGGGATTTAGATATTCCTGAAGACTTAAAAATCTTTGTTTCTTATTGATGTCATGATAATAACATCCAAAAGGTCAGATCTCTGGAACATCTAGTGTACCACCTAAGATCAACCACTAGCAGCTATATAGCCTTGCTATGAAAACAACATCAGATATGTGCTCTGACTCATCTTGCCCTCTCTCTCCAGTCTCTCTCTGAGATGTGTCTGAAATTTATCTGCACTCTGCAGGTCACATTTCCCAGGATCAATCCCGTCATTGCTTTTTCTAGACTTTCATGCTTTTTGTGTCCCCTGCCTTCCTCTACTATCCACAAGTGGAGACTATTTGAAAAGAAGATGAGACTTATGCTCATAAGAAAGCTGGACAGGGACTTCTTTCAAGGGCATGTAGCAATAGGACAAAGGGTGATGATTTTAAACTAGAAGAGGGAAGATTTAGATTAGACATTAGGAAGAAACTATGTCCTGTGAGGGTGGTGAGACACTGAAACAGGTTACACAGGGAAGTTGTGGAAACCTCATTCCCTGGAAGTGTTCAAGGTCAAGTTCGATGGGGCTTTGAGCAACCTCTTCTAGTGGGAGGTGTCCCTACCTATGTCAGGAGTTTGGAACTAGATGAACTTTAAGGTCCTTTCCAACACAAACAATTCTATGGCTGATTTTATAAGGATTCTGTCTCAATGTGGATCTTTCTTACAGCTCAAGCTGGGTGACAGTGATCTCACAAATGTCATGGTAGACTTATCCTGCATGGCTTAAAAATTCTAATTATTTTTTTCTAAAGTATATTTGCCATCTATTAGATAGCAATTTTGTCCACTGCTGTCCATTAGCTGCCAGTGTACATGGTCTGAACTCTGAGGTAAATGTGAGGTGGTTTGGCTCTTGAAGGAAAAGGAGTCATCATTTTTGCCTCAACTGGTCACTGTGGGATAGAAGCTTGTTCACACAAAGTCACAACAGAGCAATTCATATGCTGTTACTTAATGCAGAATTTATCTCACTGCAATTTGTCCATGTGCCAGGCTCTAAAGAAACTCTCTTATTGAAAGTTAGTGGGATTTTGTCTCTTAAATCTTCGTGCCTATAAGCACTTCAGAAAATTTTCCCATGGGTAAAAGCAGAGTATTCAAGATCTGGGGAGCTGCTGCAAATACTCTACCTTATTAAAATGTGGTGATGCCTGAAAAATTTGCAAGTATCTTGGCAAAAATGGCTATGAGACCCCTTCCTCTCAACAGTATGAGCATCCTGAGTTCCTTCTCTTTTTCATTTAAGTCCAGGTTTCTTCTATACTACTCCAGGAGAACACCTGAATACCATAAACCCTGTTTTGCTAGAGATTCAGATAGGGACAGAACTGAAGTGAGTTCCTTTGCTTCCAATATATTTCTGCTGCAATGAAGGACAATGTCTCAGCATACTTTCATGGATTTAATTCTGCTTATCCTTTTCATACACACACACACAAATGCCATTTCTCTTCAGAGCAATTTGTTTTGTTACATATTGTAATAATTTATCTGTCTACTTCCTGCCAATTGGTGCATAGGCAAAAAAGCTTGATAGCTCACAACAGATTGTTTTCAGAAGTATTATTTTCATCAATTCAGTTGTTTTACAGTGAAAATTGAACCATGTGCTCCAGTTTTGTGTATTTGCTTTTTCTTTCTTTTTAAGTGGAAGATAATGCCAGAGTGGAAGAGCTATCAAAATATTTTCTGTAGATGGACTCTGTAGGCCACAGGGTCTTCTATATGTGTTCCCTCTGAAACAGTTGAATGTGGAGTTTAGGCTTGAGTTTGGCTATTGCTCAGAACAGACCTATATTTGGAAGAAATGAGAGACCTGATGGATTTGTTTTGCCCAAGGCCTCACACTTTCCTTGGAGGGACTCCAGGCCCGCCCACACACCCTTGTCTTTTCCAGTTCCTGTAGCAAAGAGAGAAAAAGAAACCATTTGGAGCCAGATTCTCCCACCCTTACACATACTGAGTAGTACCCGATCTCTTGAGCAGTGCCAGCGACAGTACTGAGTTTGCTTAAGGTGCTGTACACAGACAATAAAAGCAGGATTATCAAAACCTCTGTGAGTGTACTTGCCTTTTTATTTTCTTATTAACAATCAGCCAGCATACATCTCTAGGATAGGCTCTACTGAAGATTAGCAAAGCTTTGAAAGTAATGAATTTGGTTACCTGAACTTTTAAGAAATGTAAATATTTTTCCCAAGGAGGCAAATCTTTTCTTCCTTATTCAGTCAAAACCTACCCCAGGATAGTCATGTTTGACACTCCCCTCTAAGAAGGTCCAAAGAAGGTCCAAATTCTTCTCTTCTGATTCAGTGTAGTGACAAAGCAAAAGTCTTCAGGGTTATAACCTTGTGAAGTACACTGCTCAGGCTGCTCTTCCAATAGTCATCTTTCATTTCCTCACAGAAGCCGAGAAGTACCTCATGCTTCAGTCAAAGGAAGGGGTGATGGGGAAGGCAGTGATGAGGCCTGCTGATGAAAATAATGGCACAGAGGAAAAAACACCAACCAGTAAAAATATGTCTTCTTGTCAGTTTGTGTTTCAGCAGTTTCACATTAATCTTGCACAAGAAAGCCCCAAAGCCAAGTAAAACACATCTTGTGACTTGAAACTGAACTGATGAACTCCCCATGAGTCCTTTGCTTATCCCGATAAACTTATTTTTCCTAGATGGAGTGCATTTAGAACAAAATACTCTATGTTATTAAATCTGTATTGTGTTGTTCTGTTATACGTGGGAGAGTTAGTAAATTCAGTTCGTGGGTTTGGATTTGTTTTGTTTTTTGGCTAACCAAGTCTGGTTAAAACCAATTTTGGTTCACCTTCAAGCCTCTAGCTGCTTCACTGCTTCCCTGCAGATTTAGTAGGGATGCCAAGGGTACCACTGTGTAAGGAGAATACACAGTTATGCAATTTGGGGAATTTGGCAGGACGGGAAGAGGAAATTTAGGCAGGCCTCCCACCCATCCCCAGGAGAAATAGTATTGTATTGCAAGGCAGAGCTGTCATACTCAGACAGGCCTTCTCAATCACTTCCCTCTGGTTCTCTTAACATTTTGACCTTTATACTACCTGGTGAATATAAATCTTACTTAAACAATCAAAGAAATCACAAAAACTCCTGAACAAACACCTTTCAGGAAAAAAAAATGTGTTACACTCTGTGTTCCTTATCTAGGCTGAACCATGAAGGAAGAAGTAAACACAAAAAAGCAAATTCCATGGAAATAACAGTGTATTCCTGAAGAAACCTAAAACATTAAATTTCTTCTGTTGTACAACTACACACATGAAGATCATCTTACACCAATCACTGAAATACCATAACTTACCCAGTAAATCACGACCATCAATTAACCACGCACAGAAGTGCTGCATGACTACTTGAGGCAGGAAATGAAGCTACCAGGAAAAACCCTCCAGTAGCTTTGCCTTATGCACATACTGCTAAACCAGAAGGTTTTCTGGAGCCTGCTTCCATAGATATCCTACAGCATGGAGAAATTCCAGTTGGCAAAGAAACAGAGGAGTATATACATACTTCCTTAGTAATCTCACCCACCACTAATCAGGAATGTATACGCAGGCTTTGAGGTGCAGTTAGAGGACATTACTTCGCAGCATTCTTCAGCTGGCACATGATCAGAGGTTGGCAGAAAGGGTTACTGGCTGTATCGTATTACATATACATTAACTTTGGGTAATGCTGGTGGCTCAGGCCCAAAGTGAAAGCAAATCTCTGGCACTCTCTCCCACCACAAGAATTCCTCAGGGGAAAGAAAGTCAGACTAGAAAGAAAGTCAGACTGGCTGTTAACAGGCAGAGCAAAGGGACAAGGGATGGAAAGAACTGGTAGATGTGTAGTTTTTTGCATACGATGTTTTATTACATTTGAGAAACATTTCTGTTTGAAAGGAAGCTTCTTAGCATAAAGGAGGAAAATCTGTACCTGTAAGAGTGTAGGGGAGTAAAGGTTAGTTACGACTTTTTAGCTGTGCCTGAGGAGTGTTAGCCTTGCCCATGGCATTGACTTTCAGCATGGGGCACAAAAGTTAGGAAGTAGAAAAGGGGTTTTTGGGGAAAGTGGTTTTTTACATAGTGCATGGGAAAGCTGAAGCTGACCAGGCCTTGCTGCCCTGCAATACGCAAGAGTCCTAAATTTAGA